GCCCAAAAAGCTAGACTACAATCTCGGCAATATACCAATGGGCCTAGCTCAGCTGGTACACCACTGAACTGTTGAAAATTGATATACGGACTCGAGTTCAAATCCAGATACCTTCAGATGAAGAGGATAAAATCATTCTGAATTGCCTGGAGCCGATCAGTTCAATGATGATATCTAAAGGCCGTCGACCTTTTAAAAACAAAAACAAACAGTTTTTTCGCCTCCAATGCCACGTGGCGAGTTTAGACGCATGCGAGTTTGACCGTGAACGCGCATTCAGACATTCAAACGGCAACGCAGACCTACACTGTGTAGTATCTGAATAACACACAAGGTCTTAAGCCTCAATGTGAATGAGCCAAGCTCATGTTCAGCATGGAATCTCTCTCCTTGATACACTGACCTGTCTAAACGCAAAGGCAAGATTTCACTGCCTTTCACAAAGCAAGAGTGCAGGTAAGCTCAGATAGTTATCATAATCGAATGCGTAGTATTTGAATAGTACACAGGATAAATGCATAGTATTTGAATAATACACAGGATACTGTCCACACAATGAATTGCCACGTAAGCTTTAGAAGACAAAAGGAAGTCACGAAGCTGCGCACTTTTTCAACTATTTGACTACACCATACAATCAACAATTGCAGATTTAGGGCAAGACGACCAACGATTCTTAAACCACCTATATTTTCTACATTCACCAATCATTGGCCGACACGGTAATACTGTTTGCAGTTACCTACCTCGATGGAATCCCTGCCCTGTGCAGTAAACCGCTGCGCTTTCCTGTCAAGAATCAGATAAGAAAGGACAAGGTTGGCCTCCTCATAGCTTCCACAAGCCTTAACGAATTTCTCCATTGTTACGATGCAATCTGATGGCACAGTCGATCCATCGATCAATTGAAGGTTTTGCAGCACGTCTTCGACTCTTTCCTGGCATTTTCACAATCACAGGCAAACCACCATTCAAACACTCTCAGAATGTCAACACCACACATGCAACACACCTACCACAGAAACACAAGCAACATTCGAAACGTTCATCATGCTTACCCTGACATAAACACACTCATGGCACAAACTCAAACAAGATTTTTACAAACTCGTTCCAAACCACAGAGAATTAGGGCATACCCATAGTTGGATTTTCAGAATTTTTTTCACAGCAATTTGCTTCTCGTGTAGACAAAGTAGAAATGTTAACAACAATCGTATTTGAGAAACAACGACTTGTAGATATTGGTACTGATACTGCAGAACACGCTAAGTACGCAGCTCTTGCAGCACCCATTCCAGACTACCTTGCGAGACAAACTCGCATACACCCCATATCTATCCGCCATCTCCGCTCAAATGAGCGTGCACACACACACACACACACACACACACACACACACACACACACACACACACACACACACACACACACACTCCGTGTTGCTTGCTACAGAGGTAAAACTGTTTCATTGTTGGATTGTCTCAATTCAAGTGATTTTGTTGTCTCAAATAGGACTAAAGCTGCTTCGACGTGGATCTACTCATCTGGGTGGAATTGGGGCTGTTATGGTGAAAATTCACACACACACACACACACACACACACACACACACACGCGC